TTTATTTCCCATTAAAAAAATCATAATGGAGCATATGCCGTCATATATTGCCAATCAATATCTAATGTTTTTTGTATCAAATTTAGATCTGAATTTTCCAGACTTATTTGATGTTTCATGTCTATTCATATTTGACTGTGTGGAAATTTGAAATAGTGCCAAAATGTAGTCGCTGAGTATACATAAGCATGATGCCGCATTCCCAGCGAGTAAATAATATTGACGTGTAAACATAAAATTTCTATAGATTTGTCCCGAACCATCTGAACAAAATTTTCTTCTATTTATTGAAGAATGGCGGAAAGACAGGGCCAAGACACGATACACAATAGCTTGCCATATTGAATTTGTAGGTCAACCAATGGCCGCACTAATATAAAGGCATTTTCGTCAGCATCGGCATCATGTGTTTATTCAACATCAAAATCAAACAGGGTTTCGGCCGATTTGATTGAATCGAGCCTCGCTCAGCTGTGTGTGTTTGATTCGCGTTGAGTAATTCTAAATATTGGTATTTTCCCCAAACTAAAACATATTTCCCCAGTCAATACAGCCTCGGCTCATATTTATCGTCAGTTAATTTCTTCCTTCAGAAAGGAATGATTTTTAGCAATAGTAAACAAAGAGTTCTGGCTGGAGAGTAGAGTTGACATTTCTTCCAATAAACCCTAAATAAACTTTGCCTTCAACTCCATACCATTTTAATTCCTTCACTATCATTCAGCCAGCCAACTGAGTAAGCAATAGAAAATAGCCAACCGGTGACAGTATTACCACCAAATTAACTTTTGCTTTTGATCTTGTCGTGTTTATTTTGCGGTCAATGTTTACCACCATGCCAGGCATGCAGATCAACCAATTCACAAGTGGATATTGAAGAATAATTTCTATAATTTACTGAGGTTGCGATAAGTTCCTAAGCCCTCTTCTTTCGCTTTCATCTGACTTTCTCCATCTTATCGTTTTGTGCTGTCCAGTGACCTGAATGACCCAATTGAAGTAAAAATTCTTGTTGGCTTACTTTAAGAACTTACAGATTGAACATCATTTAACAGTCTACAATCAATCTTAATAGAATATATTTACAACCTACATTATTACATGAATACAGAAATATGGGTCTGGGTGTTACTTATTTCAAGAATTTAACACAACAAATTAATAAAATAAAATAATTAATACAGCCTTGCACAAGATGAGACAAAAGAATAATTTAGGTTTAGAAATATACATATATCTATAAATATACACATGTACTGTGGTCCATTTGAGATATTTTAAAGGGCTTAAAGAAATAGAATGTTTCCACTTTGAATTAAAACCCCCCCAACAATTTAGTACCGATACTGACATGATCCTCCCCTCACATCCCAGCTATCTTTATTTTATCAATAAGTAATGTGGTTTATTGGCATCTTTCTGCATCATATTGGAAGGAAAATGTAGACCTGAAACTCCTGGAAAATTGTCACATTAGAACAAGTGCACAATTAGTCTATAAAATGGCACCATATCACAGTTGCATATCAACAATCGTCTTTGCATCAAAGATATGAGACATTTTGTTTAAAAGTTATTAATAATATCAATTAACCTCTGGCACATAAATAACCAGTTTGGTTTATTAAAATACCTGGGACAGTTTTTTTAATGCAACTGAAAGGATGTATCACCATGATTAATGTGAAAGAAGTTAAAATACCCAGTCAACTTTAATTTTTTTTTAGAATGTGAGTCAAACCATGAATGCGCTGCTACAGTAGGTGATCTAACAATATTGTCCTACTCATAAGTCAGACTACCTGTTAAGTTGTTAACACCCTCTTACTACTGTACACTTCTTAAATAGCAAATGACCATAGACCATTATCTAATTCAGTCTTTTTTTTTGGATAAGGTCACAAATTGGGGGATATGGTATCAAATAGCTGCTTCCAGTAATTATCAATTAACAAAAGATCGGCATTCCATTTTTAGGTGGATTTTGTCAAAACCTGTGTAGTGCGTAGACAGCGAGTTCATGCAAAAATTAGGGTATTATGGAAAAAAACCCCAACCTGATTACATACAGGATAAAACTAATTAGTTGTCATATCAAATAAAGTTGAAAAACATCCACACCAATTAAATTCGTAAGACAAATAAATACATTATATTGACAATTTCAATCATTGTTAAACAGAAACATCATTAACAGTTCAAAATGTAACACATCATATTTGTTTTTCTCAATTGAAATATCCTAGCTATTTTCCTGCTTTTTTTAAGCCATTTAAATTTTTTCTGAAATAAAACTAGTTATCTAGTGTTGAATTCATGATGATTTCCATCCAAAGAACAAATATTCCAGAATGATATAGACTTTCAGACCAGACATAATAAAAAGCAGTATTACCAAAAAAGGTATGACAATCTTTAAATTACTTTTTGATGATATCATGTTGGTACTGTATCTAAAATTTGATAAAATCACCTTTTGATATCAACTCATTTCAATCCACAAATATCGAGGTCAAGATGGTACTGTGTCTATTTGAATCATTTAAATTACAATCTAAATTACAATCTTCCTGTCCTAAGTTTATGTTAAATCAAAAAGGGGGATGCCTTTTGAGCTTCTTCAGCACAGCGTAGTTAAATATCAGTGTCAATTTATATTAAAATAACGAAATCAGAACTCAATAAAAAGAACTTGATAACCTGTTTGTGTAAAATATTACATAATGACAAAACAAAAGGTGACATAAACAGATTCCTTTTAACCTATGCAAACACAAGTCCTGTCTCGTAGGAGCTGGTCACGACAGGTGAAAATCAAACAGTCAGCAGACAAAACACACATCATACTTCATCACCAAGACATCGTTACAATTGCCATTTTGTATAATCCGAGCAAACAAAACAATAACAATATGAAAGACAGGATTGACTGTCGTTAGTCAAGTGGTGTTATCGTCGCCAAATACCAACCATATACAAGTGTGCTGGACGATCAGTCTATAAGACTCCAGCAAACAAGAAGTAACATATTGTTGCACGGAGTGTGGTTGTTTGGTACCTGTGATTACAGGTAAATATCAGATGTAAGAAAGTAACAGGTAGAGATATATACAGTAGATATATGTATCTTATAACAAGCTTATACAATTCTCAATAAACAAACATGATGACTAACACTACTACTACTACTACTAAACTATACAACCTACTGTCTTCACCACATTGTCCATATGTATTACAAATTGAAATATCATTCTTAAACTAAAATCACTTATTTATTATCAAATTTTGCTTAAATACTATTATGTTATAATGAGTATCGTGACTAGTTGACAGAATGTAGGGTAGTGGTATTTGATCTCACATTTCGTTGTCGGTGTGTTTCTCACCTTTGTACAAGTACATTATATCTACCAAAAGAGAATCAGTTCAGATAAGCTATTTGCATCTGAATTTGATAATCTCGCTTACGAACATGAACGTAATAGAATTTAGACATACTACTTGGTCATAGCTTAATGATATTTTTGAAAGATATTTTTTTATGTTAAAGGCGCCTTTGTTATATTATACCAATATAAAGAGTTACCGATCAGAAAACTACTCGAGATAACCTTCCCTTGTGAATGTACAATTTTCATAAGGGATGTTGCAATGGGAAATGATGTGTACCAAACACTTCTATCCAAGATGGTTAGTCACAGACAAGCTGAAATTAGTTTTCATTGTTTATCTTTGCAGAATTCACGAGGAGATTCTTTTGTTAAAGATGTGTGATTTGATGATATATTTCTACTAAAGACTAATTTATCTATCAAATGTTTGCTTCAAATCTCTCTCAAAACATTCTAATCTGAAGAAAACTACCCAAAGTTGTAAAAAAAACTATTTAATGTAACCTTGTTAGTCGTGACGTGAGGGAGGATATTTGGTTCCATTTTCAGGTTATACAATTTGTTGTTAATCGCTGTCCAAATTTTTCTTCTTTTTCTGCAGTTTAATCGCAATGTCTGTGCTAGTATGTTTAAGTCTCTCACTGTTCTCACAATAGATCAACAAAACCATGCGCTCCCTACATCATTCAAGCAAGCAACAAACGGACAGGCTGCCAGTTACGCATTGCCTTACAAATTTTTTCCTGTGTGTGCCTCGCGTGTATTTTTCAGTTAATTCAATATTTTTTTTAGTAAGACTGGGTGTCTCTACTTACATGTATACCAGAATTTTATTGGAAATAAACTACCCTATGCCGGTAAATACTTTTGTGTGAATGCATGTTGGTATGTTGTAGATTAATTTAGGTAGATATTCATCCTTTACAGATATTATGTTCCTATTACCTAAGTAAGCTTTTCTTGCAATACCCATTATAAATCATCTTCTTTTTTTTTTAAATGTAGAAAACAAAAATTCAGATATTCTGAAAAGCATATGGAATTAAAATAATATTTGTTATATTTTTGGGTGTTTGTCAACAGTTTTCATTGGTTGCTGCCATTACAGCGTGTCATGTGATGTTATGACAGTATTACATCATTGGTTCGATTCATGTATGAGTTTATTGTGAATGCTGTACATAGTATTATTTACGTTGTATAGCCATGTTGAGCTCCTTACGCACTCGCGAAATAGGTCTACAAATGGTTTGTATTTTTTTTACTCTTATATTGACTATAATAAAGAAATTAGCAAATATTTTAAAGAATTTAAGGCCTCTCTGTAATTTTGACCCAATGAGATACATGTAGCTGCCTTTTAAAATGCAAAGGATGTTAAATTATTGCAGTTTGACGGGTTTAAATTTAGATCTATTTTGTCCACAAATTCGACATAACAACCATCCTAAATTATAACAAGCATGGTAAAACTGATGCAAATTAAATTATGAGGACATGTAACTTATGTGCTAAAGTGTTTTCTTTTAAATCTACACAATTCCATATTGATGTGCCACGTAGAATTTGGGTGTTAATGAAAGAGTATTTAAAATGGCTACCTACCTTGATGTAAACCTGTTAACTGTGGACCTAAACAAGCCGCCATTAAATACTGTCTTTGTTGAAGTTGTATTTGTTGTATTTGTTGAAGTAATTGTTGTTGTTGTATGCCTAGTTGTTGCATCTGTTGTTGAACTTGTTTACTGGCTTTTTTATCATTCTGTTGTTGTTGTTGCTGTACCAACTGTGATAATTGTATAAAGTTTAATTGCAGTTGTTCATTTAGTTGATGTAATAAACCTTCCTGTAACTTCTGCTGCTGTTGCTGTCAAAACAAAAAACAATGAAAAAATTAAGAATTATGCTTTATAAATTGAATACTTATTCTATGTTAATCTTTGTTTCTGTGTTGGACTAGACGCACACCCGGCAAATAATGCATCAAGAATCGCAACTACCGGTACTTTGTTGAAACTTACATCATTTAGCAGGGAAAAATAACTATGTCTAGGCCAACTGAAACAAAGTATCGACACATCACTTCAGTGATTACCGGTACAGTTATTTTCGTTTTATTTGCATGCAAATAATTTCATATCATTCTTAATTTGCTACCTTTCAAATATAAAAGTCCAGTTATTTTCAGATAGGGACATCTTCAAAACTAAATTCTTTTAAAAGCCCAAAATTTCACAGTTTGTCATTTGAAAGATGGGAATAGATATATGCATTATCAACATATTGCAGTAGAATAAGATTTTACGACCTGTTATCCCAACTACCTGCTTGTACCCCTTTAAAATGAAACCCATAATGGAAAAAAAACATAAATTAGTAACCTGATGTTGTAACATCATCGACTGTTGTTGTTGCATCATTAATTGTAAATCAGCACCTGGAGCTTGTTGCTGTAGCAATTGTTGTAATTGTTGCGGCAACAACCCATGCTGTGCTGCCATCATCAGTAATGGTTGCTGTGCCAGTGTGGGGTTGGTACTTGTGTCTGACACAGACTTACTCTTGCGTTTGGCTGCTCCCACCAACCCCGATGAATTTTTAACTGGAGATGGAGCTGTGGGTGAGTGTGCCTGAAACAGACAAAACAAAAATTCATTAGTTGTTGCAAAAATCGGACATTTTATCAGATATTTTCCATAAAGCAGTTTCTGAAATCATGAATTTAATATTATCAAAACACAAAATTACAGGAAAAAGAAGACATAAATTTTGAAATATAAAAGTTTATCTAATATTGTAATATCAATCATCAAATTTGCAATAAAACAAATATGTACAAACATTTTATGCAGCCGTTATTTTGTAAAAAATATATTTATTTTACAGTCTTTAAACATAAATAATATTGGAAAACACACAGCTGTTCTTCATCCCTAATGAAATAATATCAAAATTGTATTATTTATATAAATATTTTATTCCGATGGTATTGTTTATATAAATATTTTATTCAAATTGTACTTTCTTTTGAATATCAATGATCATGCTTATTACATTAAGACCATATAGATATACATGTACATGTACTCAAATAATAGGCTATTGATATCTAAGATTAAGCCTGGTATTAACAAGCTAAACAAATAAATAAATATTTAGTATATGAGATCATTATTAACATCCAAAAAGAAAAAAAGATTATACAGGTCATGTGACAATCTTTATGACATATTAAATAATTGAAGTCAGAGACCCAACAGCACTAAATTCTATTTATAAGCCTATAATAAATGATAGGTTCGAAGAATATTTTTTAAGCCTTGCTTTATTGCAGAAAATCTCCAACCCTACCCAAACCTTTCCCATTCAATTTAGATGTAAAAAATTGAAAACAAAATTTAGTAGATAATTGCAATTGTTAGCCTTCTTGGGGAATACAAAGGATATATTTTTAAAATTTGTTTGCCCTCATTATGTAAATTAATGCAACATTCAGGAGAAATTTAACTGTATTTTTACGTAAAATTGTGATATCACATTCCTTTTGAACACATAACCAATTTATTGCCTATTACATAAATAATTAATTGTAGATAAATTTCACTTGAAAAAACATGTCCATGAAATTTCAAACCTATTTTATTTCTTTTTTAAGAATTTGGGTAACAGTATAGATCGCATATGTATATATTTTTCCATCTCTAGAAATTGTGATAAAAAGATCAAATTACTATGTTTACAACAAGGTGCCCCCTATTGGTTGTTATAGTAACACAATATAATACAATATCTAATTGTCTTGATATAATAAGAACAAAAAATAACAAGATTTGTTTGTCACTACAAGAACATATACCATATATATCACAATAAACAAACATAATAAACATGGATGATTGACAGACCTTATGCCTAAACATGATGACGGTAAGGCTGGGGTCCAAACAAACAATATTCCAGTCAACAATATTATTTAAATGGGGTATTTAAGACAGAAATTTGGCTTAATCTCAAACAGATCACATATCACTGTTACAATCTTTGAAGTAATAAATGGGTTTTCTTAACCTTTGAAATCGAAGATCCAACAAAAATTAGCTACATTGTAACTAAATCAACAAGAAGTGGTACCAGATGTTCTAGACAAATTAAGCATATCCTGTCAATACTTCTAGATACATTATTGATTGATATTGAAGAATACAATCCAGTATGAAAGCCAACACTGCAGCATGCTTATTTAGTTAACTACAGTATATTATATTTACAATAATATCAGTTATCAGTATTATCATTACCATAGAATATAATAACTGGTGTATATTATTTATTTTACTGTAAATAGTCATTAATTCTACATTTAACATTAGTGTAGATATTGCCTGGATCAAAATAGATGATTTCTGTATACAGTAATATGACACAAGTTTGAGACTCAACACACAGTGTATACAAGTATGTACAGGACCATATAGTGCAGAAAAGAGGATGTTGACAACATTTTTATTTATCTTTTTCTCTAGAATTTGTGTAAATCATTTTTTTTCCAACTTTAAATATACATTATATACATAAGAGCTGGCAATTCTCACTATAACAGTTAAAAACTAGATGATGTAAATTGATTATGGTGAAAATTTCAGTCAAATTGCTTAAATCTATTAAGCTGAGAAAACCCTATTTTAAAATCTCTGTAGCCTTGACTCTCATCGTTACCGTTGTCACGATAATTGACAAAGTCTTGAGTATCCATTTTTGCATTTAATCATCAACGTTGAACAGCTGATCAGATTCAAATCCAAAGAAAATCGGATACATGGCATCGAGAGTTGATTATTGTCTTCTTATGTTAATAATTGTCTTATTAATAGTTTATTTTAACATTTCAGGCCTAAAGAAAGACCTGTAATAGGCAGATTTACCTCTTGCATAATGCATGTCTAAACATACATTATGCAAGAGCTAAATCTGCCTATTGCAGGTCTTTCTTTCGGCCTGAAATGTTTTCTAAATTATTAATTAGACATTAATTAACTGATCCAGGCCATAATCAACTCTTAATGGCATCAGATTTCTCTGATATTAAATAGATTAGAAATGTTCAGCCATATTTTGATTTAATTTAAAAATGGAGGAGAGAGACTTAGCTTCGAACAACCAGTGCATTGGTTGAAATTATTGCACACGTCTTGTCAAACCTTCAAAGGCTAATATCTTCGCTCGCAATAGAGTAATTTGAATGAAATTTTCAAATTATTCATTTTACATTATCTATTTTCTACTATTATAGCAAGAATTGCTAGCTCTTTATCTAAATCTTACATAATGCATCTTGAAGTCTAAATAATATCTTATTACCTGGTCATGTATCACACAGAATGAGTGTTAAATATCATCTCTACCAGGGAGAGAAAAGGGGTTTAACATCCATTCTACACAAACTAAGTCATTTTGTTTCAATAAATGGTTTGCACATTGGGGTCCTTAGCAGTAGGAGGAGACCTGGAAATTTGCTTGCAGAAAATATTTCCACCTACGAGAAATTTCAACTGTCCAATGTGTAAGCAGGTGGAAACCAGTTTTTTGTCATATTGAAATGACTTTCTTCTTTGAGTGGCATTTAGCAATTGACACGAGTAATTAACACAAAACCATAATATGGAACACAATTACTGTTTTAATTAAAGCAAAGTCTTGTAAAGGGTTTTCTTTATGGTGTTGTGTTTATTATTGAAATGGCTTGTTAACTCTTTACTTGTCAAACCCTATAAGGCACTAACCCTGACAACTGGGAATTTCTTCAAGTGGGCATGAAAAAATCCTGAGATTCTTTGAAGCCGACACAAATAATAATATATAAAGGAAAAAAAATATCATAAAAATAGATAATTTAAACTGAACAGAATATTCATAGTATTCATAGTCAAATCAACACATGATGTGTCCAAATGATGTGCAATAGTTAGCATATTTTCTGAATAACTTAAAGCATGGACAAAACTCTGTCCACCTATTTTTTTTCCTTCTTACAAATTGTTTGTTGGACACCTATTGGGGGTGTCAGTTTTTAAAAAATATGTAGAAATACAGAAATGCTATGTTTTGTAATTTCTGTCAATAAATGACTACAAAATACATTAATAGTGTAATTAAATTTCAAATTAATAAAAAAAATTCTGTACATTAATTGCAAAATTACATTATTGTAGCCTGTATAAGCTCATATTCTTCTGACTTGCAATCCTTTTGATTTCAGTTAATACATTTTATTATTTCAAATCATTTTTTCAAAACCAAACAATCAGTTAGACCTGATTTCAAGTTAAATCATGTTATTGTCTGCATTTAAAAATAATAAACAACTTGAAAATATATGATCTATCACCCTAACTGGGAGTGTGAAAAAATAACCCAAACAAAACACAGAACCAGACAGATCTGGGATATTTTTAGATATGTGTATACCTTATGTTTACAGGACAGCAGGATATCAAAATATTATTTCATGGCTATGATTATTTTGTGCAAAAATAATATTATCTCACCAAGTTGACAAAGCTATAGGTTAAAACAAAACAAAATTGGGGCCTGATAAGATTTTTTTTTTTTTAGTTTTAGAGATTCACTGCCTTAAACATAAAATAATTGCGCTCTTGAAAATGAGACTAACTGGGGGAAACCAACTTACAGACCGAAAGTGATTAATAAACTTAAAATTGATAAAATATTGACGCCCTTTACTCATAATTGTGGTACATGTATATATTTTTAGATTTTAGTAGAATAGATTTTCCTCAAAAGAACTCATAAGATAATAATCTTTACTAAAAAAGAGATACTTTTCTGGATAGTTTTATGTACTTACTGTAAGTAACCTATACCCTAAAGTATTATTCGAGCAACGATTAAAACTTTTTCTTTTAGTTTTGATGTAATCTTCAACCAATAGGTATATCAAAACAATATACCACTGGGAATATCAAAAAGTTCTGGAAATATTATACACTTAGCACACATTACCTTCTGGAAAGAATGAAAAATAATGTCCATTATCTGGTACTCTGGAAACTAACAAAAAATGTTCACCTACAGAGCAAATAATGAAATAAAACCAACACAGTCAATTATCACCATCAGATATATATATATACATGTATATATTAAATTTTGTCACCTGAACAGTTAAAAACCAAATGTACAAAAATGTGAGTAACACAATTGTAGAAGACTGACAAAACAAAAAGGGTTATTTAAGTGTCAATCAACAAGATGTCTATTACATGCCTATTACATGTAGATCAAGCGAAATATGACATTTATTTATTAACAGTTGTTGTTATATATTCACATTCATCAACCTATTCAGACATTTTGTGTCTATTTTTATTTATTTATGATTTTATATTTAGAAAAAAAAAAAGAAATATCAAATCCAAGAGTCAATACCGGTATATTTTTATACTTGATCAGAATGTTCAATGCTATTAGTATCATATTAAATTTCTTACAGGGTTTATCCCTACAATACTTGTCATTGTATTTTCCTGACAATAAGCTTATCTTATAACATTTCAACACTACATGTAGTAATAATAATAATGGTATAAATCTGTCATGGTATCCTTAATTATTATATTACAATATTCTCTAGAATAGAGTGTAATTTTATATAATACTTCAAGAATTCATTCTATTTTCTCAAAAATGTCTAATGTTACATTAGAGATACTGGTAGACTAGCTTTATGTGTTTCCATCTCTCACTCCACGCAATGCTTCCAAGAGTGTAGGAATTTCAATTTTTCAAAACTTTTTAATAAAAAAGACCTTGTGATTGAAGACTTGCAATCAAATATATCATTTACAAATTCATTAACTAAAATATTTTTGTATTCCTCAGAATTATCTGAAGAACAATTAAATCTATCCATCCTGGTCCCTTACCCCACATATTTTATTTTCATCATTTATACACCAATGTCATTCAAATTTAACGCTCAAAAACTTCACACCTTTATGTAAGTTTTGCAGACACTTTTATTCGAAGTAAAACGTCACATAAATTACAGCAACACGATCTGTTCTATTTCCAGATGGTCTGAAGAAATTTAAAAAGAAACCTTTGTAGTTTTTTAAGGCTACGAATGGCGATTCCATAAAACAGTGGTGTGATTTATTTGCATACAGGCCGTAAATAAAGTGGAAATATTGCCTTATTGTGTTTTAGACAGATACATGTATCTAAATTATGATGACATGTCATTGTCTAAACAGTTTTTTTAATTAAAAACTTAATGATAAACAAGTTATATTTTTGGCCTTAAAGCAACCAAAAATGTCAAGAAAATCTAATAATATTTCATTTCGAATTATTTTTTAATTGTATCACAAAATAACTTTAAAATTCTGGTTCATATTATAAATTGTATGATATATAAAGTAAACTTTTTGTTTAACATCAATTTTAAAACATTTAATTTATGAAAATATGAAATATTGTCCTACCAGAAATCATGCTATGATGATATTTCCGAGTCTATCTGACAGCGACGACCCTGACTAGTCTACTACATATTCAATCAATCGGCTCAACATAATCAAACACTATTCTAAATACGCATCTTTTGAATTAATATGAGTCACGGGTCGACTGGTTTACATAAGCTTGCACAGTAAACAGCCACAAGTTGACATAATCTGCAGTTGGAGTTAAGCTCATCCCAAATCTTGGGGTCCCGATATAAGCTGCTGATAGGTTTTTACAGTAACAATTCTAACAGCTATTGCTTGTATCCGTCTTCTGTGTATGTGTACTAAGTTGTCGATGGTCGGTCTGGGTCTTGCCACATTCAACTTGTGTAAACAAATGCCAAGCTAGCGATAATGAGAAGTCAAAGAACAAACATACACAGCTTTCGTAAAAAGGGAAACAAAATTTTGCCATGGGCCCTCGATGAGTTGAATTGATCACACATCACTGGTCGAGACATGACAGTTCTGCTTTTTCTTATTTATCCGTTCTGACCCCGCGATTTTACAACAAACTATCAACTAATTATAGACATAAACCTTCAGAATTTGTATCTTTGAACGCCCAACTGAAGATATGTTGATGGAACATTCTTTTACTTAGTAACAATGTTTTGCAAAATCTCAACTAGCACTAAGTACCCTATTGCTTTTGGTAATTAATTACAATTTTAATTCTTTCTCAGAGGGGATCCATTTTGAAATTTGTTTTCTTATAATCCATATGTTAGTTCATAAGGTTTCTTTTTTTTTTTACTACAATACATGTATATAATTAAGGTGTTGTCACTGATTCAACAGAGAGAGAGAGAGAGAGAAATGGGGTTTAACTTCCACTCGACTCAAACTAGGTCATTTCGGGACTAACATGGTTAAATTTATTCAATAATTTGCTTGCGCACAGGGGTCTATAGCAGTGGGAGGAAACCAGAGTACCCGGAGAAAACCCACAAGGTTGGACAGGCGACCCTGCTCCTTGTCACGTACAACCGGGAATCAAAACCACGCCAGCTGACTCATTGAAAGACTTATGATACAGCGCGCACACGCTAACCATTCAGCCATCCAACCCACCCACCGATTCAACAATGCATACAACTAGGTGGTTTCAAAACACATGTATTAAAACAAGGTTTCACAACACATACATCAAAACAAGTTTTCACAACACATACATCAAAACAAGTTTTTACAACTCGTACATTAAAACTAAGAGGTTTCACAACACAATACTTTGAAACTACCTGTCGGTGGTTTCACAACACATACATGTACTTTAAAACTACCAGTAGGTTGTTTCACAACAATGTTAACAAATACAATAAAACTGGGTTTCATAATGTAATACATCAAATTTATATAAGCCCCGGCTTTTTTTTCAGATCCCAGATTTATACATATTATATTTATATTATGTAAATATTTATTGAATAAATAGTGTTAGAAAAAAAAAAATATATATATATTAAAACTAGGAGGTTTCACAACACGATACATTAAAATGAAATGTCAAAATGTAAAGAAATAAGCGATCTTGTCTTTAATTATTGACTTTAAATTGCCAAAATGTTTATTTAAATTGCTATTAAAACATGGTTAAATATGCACTGACTATGATTATTCTCGCCCTATAGTCCTACTAACCTTCACTATTCTTGTGTATTTGATGAAATTATGACTTGGACTTAACTATGTAGAGTGAGTACATATACATTTACTTTACTGTAGGTTTATCAACAATCATACAATTGTCAAGGGAAATGCCTTTTCAAAAATGCTTTAAGTCGATGTGGTAGCCATCAAGCCCCTAATACAGACTCTTCTTGACAATTTTTTGAAAATTGATCAAGAACTTGATTGTACAGAGTGGGTATAAGGAAGTATGGACAACATTAAACTGCATTAACTCTGAAACCATTTATGCGATTAAAATATAAATTTCAATCATTATTACATACCTGGACTGTTTCATAGTTGCTTTCTCCGTTTAACTTGGTCTCTCCATTTAGCATCGCCTCTTCCTTTCCTTCTCGTAGACTAGTTGGATTTGAAAGATTTATGGCCGAATCCTGATGCCTTTCTCCATCCATTATGCCATTTTCCTATCAAACAAAATGTAAAAAACAATTTAAATATATGTAGATAAATAAATGGTTTTATTTACAACTTCCGACTACAGGAGTTCACATAGCTAAGTAATTAATAACCCTATCTTATAAATGACTTCAAATAAATCTTAGCTTCTCAAGATTTTTAATTTTCCTTATAAGATATGGTATATGTAAACCTATTGCAACTGCCCAAACTAATATTATTGTTTATTTACTTGTAGTGGTCACATCAAATCCTGATTTTACTTTTCTAATTTCAGTCATTATTCAAATGCTTTTTTGATTCAATTGAATGACACATTTTTGGGGTGGTTGTTACGCATTTTCAGATTGATTGATACCATACTGTAAATCTTAGAAATGAATATTTTGTTTATCTGTTTATATTTGAATATTTGATTTCATTGAATTACATTTAGTAATTATTTCAAAGGAGAAAAAAATTGCATTAACTTCAATAGCCTTCGAATGATGAATAGTCATAAATCAGTTTGAACAGCCTTGAAAATTTCAAATATTTGGTTGAGCAAAACTTGGTATTCAATAAAAATTATTTGATTCTGAACCAATAATTTTCAAATTATTGTCCTAGGGAGCCACGGTGGCTGGGTGGTTAAGGCGCTGGCTCGCTAGCCTGGAGGTCGGGTGTTCGATCCCTGCATTGGCCGAGAAAGTTTATCCCGATTTTCCGACGTGGTTTCCCCTTGTCAGTGGTGCAGAACGGAGGGCCTGACAAGGACAGCTGTCTAGTCCTTCGGATGAGACGAAAAACCAAGGTCCCGTGTATACATTGGAATGCATGTAAAAGATCCCTTGGCCAGTTGGAATTCAATATAAGAGTAGGCGATAGTGCCGCTGCCCAGGCAAAATTTAACTCATAGCACACTGTATGGCGTATGCCCGTCTTCATTATTATTATTATTATTAGTATTACAGCATATTTATAGTGCACCCTTTCATATAACATGTTCAGGGGCACTTTACAAAGTGACAATGTAAATCATACATAAACAACAAGATTATGGACATGTTAACGATTGTATACAGAGTCAGTTAAAAGCCTGATTAAATAAATGTGTTTTAAGTTGTTTTTTAAAAGAATATAGAGATGTACAACATCTTAAACTAAATGGTAGACTATTCCATAAAACAGGTGCTTGATAACTAAAAGAGCGCTGACCATAAGAGACTAGTTGAACAGTTTTGGGCTTTAAAAGTAGTTTATCTGATGTACGTAATGTTCGACCAGGTGTATAAAGTTTAGGAGCAGAACAGTAGGACGTTAAACCCCATTTACATTGGACTAAAACCATTTATACTGTAAAATAACATCTTGTTAAGCACTTACAGAGATTGATTGATAATATCATATATACTTGGAAAAATACTGTTTGGGAATTTGGTGCTGCACAGCCAAATTGACACAGAAGTTGGAGGATTCTTTGTAGTTAATGTGTTAAATCATATATATAAAATGGAAAATCATGGTACTGTAACATACATGTATATCTGATACATGTACCTGTAGAAATGGGCTATTATTTGGCCAACGTTACATCTTTATTTACTCATGGATCTTTCAAGTATCTATTTACATTCCTGTCTTTTAACTCAATTAAAGTCCCCTAAAACTTTTAGCACATATATACATATCCAACTACATTTATTAAAGTTATTTTTTATGACAACAATTCTATTTCCACACAAAAGAAACACATTTAAATATAATCGATAAATTCCCCCATATTTTATCTAATCGTAAACAGGTACATATATTTCTTTGCTAATCTTAGAGCAAATCAATATAAAAATTTGCGATATCATATTTATCTGTTCTGCACAAAAACAAAAAAAAGAAGGAGATTTGAACAATATTGTTTTTTGAAAGTAGAGTATGCAAGCCATACTTGTACTCAATGACACAGTATGATAAATTACACAATGATATAAATCATCATACTTTTATTTTATCGAATCAATTTAATCCATTTTTCTACAGTTTCAAGTGATCTGAAGTCGTCACCTTTTCTTTTACAATTGGTATGAATAAATTTATCGGTTCTTCGTGTTATTGACACTGTTTGTTGTTTGTAAATAGACATTTCTTCACGTATTGTTTTTAAAAGGTAGTTCACTTGGTGCAAGGCTATTCATCGGCATATCAGAAAATAAATATTAACAAACACAAACCTAGGTGAGGTAAAAACACATCAAAGACTTTTTATATTTACAAAACATAAAGGAGGCCTTAAGAAATAATTGCACACTCACAAATATGGCCATTGAGCTCTTTATTTTTTGAGGAGTTTGTGTTTGTTAAGAAACATGAAATATTCAATATGTAAATACTACGCTAGGTAATGACAACATGTTTTAAATAATGTTATATTTATCTTTATCATTATGACTTTATGGTAACCTAGTTAAACAACAACACTTCTATTTTAAAATAGTCAAAATGTTGAAATGTGACCACACACATTTAGCTTACAAATGCGCAATGTTAAATGATTGTCCAAGGTTTGACAAGTAATGGTCGCCTTAATTTGGTTCTAATCAAAATAAAGATGCTATGTACCTAGCAACAAAGCTTTTAGGAAATCGGTACAACAATAACTTGGGCATAGTTCTGATACATTTTGATAAGTGGCGAATGTGAATAAAGACTGAAAAACAGCCCCATTTTGGTGGGACTTTCTTCTGGAGGATTCTCAATCCTTCCATTACCATAACAAAAATAACCAAGTACCTATTCAGAAAGATAAATCTACCAGCCATTCAATTCACAAGGACTCATGTTTGTGTAAGTTCTATAAACAAAATATGCCATAAGTTAGCTACAAATATTGCTCAAATATCCTACTTTTTCCTAAAACAAAATCTTTGATTATTGTGCAAACATATACATGTTAATAGTAATTGGAGCATCTGTTTGGGCACAATTGCAAGGGCTGGACCTCTCCTTGACCAGCTAACTACATCGCCTGTGCCAAAAAACTAAGTCCTCAAATTGAGGTTGGATTTTGTAACTCTTCTGACATTTCAAAATTTGTCAAACAAGCCTACAGTGAGGCTGATGTCCCCCGTTGAAATCCCAAATAAACAGATGACACATTGATTAATTGCACATTTACCATTTTCAAAAGTATTGAGCAATCAAACTGATTATCTATACTTAGTCTAAGAATAAAATGTTCACAATCAAAATCAGTCAAAAATTTGAAGTACCTGGTAGTGAAACCATACATCAAGTTTCATCACTCTCCATCAGTTAGAATCAAAGTGATCTTGCCCTAAAGCATCGACCAATGAAATTGCTTAGCTCTGCTTAGTTTTAGTTGGAAATGTTAATCATTGAACTCGGTCAAGGTATTCACTTAATGAACGCCTACACCAAGTTTGAACATTCTACCTGAATTAGAAGGAGAGCTATTGTGTTCCGATGTCACGACCAATCAAATTACTTATCGCTCTGCTTACCCTCAGCAAAATATGTCCATTATCATAATTAGTCAAGGTATTGATGTAATGAAAATATACACTAAGTTTCATCACACTTTTCTCACTTAAAGATACATTAGTTAAGAGTTTACTAAAGAGTTGGCCATTCTTGCTATAATAATTAAAAAATAGATGATAAAAAAGAAAATACTGAAAATTTCAATCAAATTACTTTTTTTTGAACGGAGATGTCACTGTTGGAAATTGGGACTAGAAACAGGCATCAACTATGTCTGAAACGACTACGAGAATTACCGATTGTTTGATTGACAGATATGATAACTCCACCCACATAGGCACATACATGTATTCTCGATTATCAAGTAACATTCTCAATGGCAATGGTACTCTCATCACCAGTTTCCGGTAGTGACGTCAGTGACTAATGGTAAACGTTAGCTTGGCCAGCCATTTTTTGATTTAATTTTAAATGGATGACTGTTTAAATCCAAGCTGTATCCAAGCCATCCGAGGGTCTACAGAGTTTATTTTGAGCTTGTCATGTAATTAAAGGTCTAATTAATAATTTCTATAGCATCTGAAGCCTAAATAAAGACTTACATTAGGCAGATTTAGCTCTTGCATAATGTATGTTTAATTAGAGAGGGGGGGTCACGATGGCTAAGTGAGAAGACGCTGGCTCGCTAGCCTAGAGGTCGGGTGTTCGATCCCTGCATTTGACAAGAAAAATCCTCCAGATTTTCCGGCGTGGTTTCCCCCTTGTCAGTGATGCAGGACGGAGGGCCTGATAAGGACAGTTGTCTAGTCGTTTGGATGGGGCGAAAAACTGAGGTCCCACGTACACATTGGCGTGCACGTAAAAGATCCCATGACAGTTGGAATTTGATATAAGAGTAGGCCATAGTGCGCCGTCCGGGCAAAATTTCCCTCATAGCACACTGTGTGGCGTATACCCGTCTTCATTAGCCCACTTCGGAGCAGAACAGTAGGACGTTAAACCCCATTTGATTTCATTTCATTTCACTTAATTAGAACTAATGTTATCATGTCCCAAAGAATCAACCAATCAAATTGCTCATCTCTGCTTACCCTAAGCAGAACATGCTCATCTTCAAACTCCATCAAGGCATTCACCTAATAAATGCCTACACCAAGTTTGAACATTCTAATTCAAGGTATTGATGTAGTAGTGTCATCACTTTCACTTAATCAGAACTAAAGTTATAGTGTCCCAAAGCATCAACCAATCAAATTACTTATCTCTGCTTACCCCAAGCAGAAAATGCTCATCTTAACACTCCATCAAGGCATTCCCCTAATGAACGCATACACCAAGTTTGTAATTCTACCTCAATTAGGAGAGTAACGGTGTTCCAAATTCTCGACCAATCAAATTGCTTATCGCTCTACTTACCTTGAGCAGAAAATGCTCATTACAAAACTTAGTCAATGTACATGTATTGATGTAGTGAAACTATACACTAAGTTTCATCACTCTCACTCAATCAGAACTAAAGTTATCGTGTCCC